ATATGAATGTATCACATAGATGGTGCCCCCCCCCCCCCTCTCTCTCTCTCTCTCTCTCTCTCTCTCTCTCTCTCTCTCTCTCTCTCTCTCTCTCTCTCTCTCTCTCTTCTCTCTCTCTCTCTCTCCTCTCTCTCTTCTCTCTCTCTCTCTCTCTCGTCTCTTGCTCCTCTCTCTTGCTCTCTTCTCTCCTCTCTCTCTCTCTCTTCTCTTTCCCTCTCGCTTCTCTCTCGCGCTCTCTCTCTCTCGCCTCTCTCTTCTCTCTCTCTCTCTCTCTCTCTCTCTCTCTCTCGTCTCTCTCCTCTCTCTCTCTCTCTCTCTCTCTCGTCCTCTTCTCTCTCTCTCTCTCTCTCCTCCTCTCTCTCTTCTCTCTCTCTCTCCTCTCTCTTCCTCTCCCTCCCTCTCCTGCCCTCTCTCTCTCCTCTCCTCTCCTCGACTCACACCCTCTCTCCTCTTTCTCTCTTCTCTCTCTCTCTGTCTCTCTCTCTCTCTCTCGCTCTCTCTCTCTCTCGTCTCTCCTCTCTTCTTCTTTCTCTCTCTCTCTCTCTCTCGTCTCTCTCCTCTCCTCTGCTCTCTTCCCTTTCCTGCTCTCCTCTCTCCTATGTGTGCCTCTCTCTCCGCCCTCTCTTTTGCTTCTCTCTCTCTCTCCTCCTTTTGCTCTCTCTCTCCTCTTTCTCTCTCTCTCTCTCCTTTTGCTCTCTCTCTCTCTCTCTCTCTCTTGCTCTCTCTCTCTCTCGTCCTCTTTCTCTCTTTTCTCTCTTTGCGTCTCTTTCTCTCTTTCTCTCTTTCTCTCCCTCTTCTCCCTCCCTCCCTCCCTACTCTCTCCCTCCCTCTCTCTCCCTCATCTTGTCTCTCTCTCTCTCTCTCTCTCTCTCTCTCTTGTCTCTCCTCTCTCTCTCTCTCTCTCTCTCTCTCCTTCCTCTCTCTCTCTCTCTCTCTCTCTCTCTCCTCTCTCTCTCTCTCTCTCTCTGTCTCTCTCTCTCTCTCTCTCTCTTCTCTCTCTCTTTCTCTCTTCTCTCTCCTCTCTCTCTCCCTCTCTCCCTCTCTCCCTCCCTCCCTTCCCTCCCTCCCTCCCTCCCTTCCCCCACCCCCTTTTTCCCTCTCTGTTTCACTTTAATGCCAAATGAACACTATTAACCTAACAAAGGACATTTTTTTAAGAACAATTTCCTTTAATGATAAGTATCTGATTTCTTTTTCAATGTTTCAGATTGTATCGAACACATATTGGTATTGCTGTGACCAGGCATCTTCTCCAGGCTAAGATCCTCGATTCTGACCCAGCCGCTAGCCAGGAGCTGAAATCTGGAGCAAATGCCATTGCTATTACTAAGTAAGATTAGTAATTTCAAGAGAGGAGGAGGAGTTAAAGAGAGAGAAGAGGAGAAAAGAGGATAAGAAAGAAGAGGAAAATGTAGGAGTGAGAGAGAATAGTGGAAAAGGAGAGATGTGGAGATGTGGTAGTGGGCGAGAGAAATGTGAGGGAGAGAGAGGAGAGGATGAGGTAAGGAAAGAGAAGGGAAGAAAGGAAAGGAAAGAGAAAAGAGAGAATAGAAGAAGAGGTGTAGAGAGGAATAGAGAGAGTGAAAGGGAGAGAGAGACAGAATAATGAGGATATTAGATTAATCATTAAAAGCTTTTTTCAAATAACCAACTTATTGTTGATAATATTAATCACATCATTGTATACTTATTAGAATATCTAGTTCACACCAGCTGACATTGATTGTTGCCATGATGCATCAAGCACACATGCCAGGTGGGAAGTATCCATACCCTGCGCAGTTGAGCCTACCTGATGTTATGCAAACTAAACAGTCTTTTATTGTTTGGCCTGCATTGCAATCCTTAAGGAGGTACAAACCTTCAAAGTAAACTTAGAGTCTTTCTCTAGCCTCTTTTATTGAAAAATCATATATGCCACAACTAGAACTGTAGACCGCAAGGAAAACATATCTTCCCTGTGCAATTCCTCTCGAAGGGCTGACACTAGCAGTGCCTGGTGCATGGCTTGGCATAGTGTGGGTGAAACCAGTTGATACTTTATAATTATCAGAGAATGAAAAGGAGGGAAGAGTGAGAGACAGAGAGAAAGAGTAAAGGGAAAGAGACTGAGAAAATATTATTTCATTGTTTTTCAAAATTGTTGAAATGTCATTATCAGTGTTGATTGTACTATTCTTTATGAAGTATATTTCATTTATCATGTTATTTTTATTACTATCATTATTGATATGAACTCAAGAAATAAAGTCACAAGACAAGAAAAATAACAAAAAGAAATTAAACCTTAAAATTAAAACTTTTCCTTTTCCAGATTTGTCAGTACGATCATCAAAATTCCTGCCGAGCGCTACCCCCCCAACGAATCTCAATCACAAGTACCTTATCGGGCCAGAGAAGATTGGATTAGTCTGCCCAGTATGTACCCTTGTTGGAACACTGCAGGCACATGAAGAAACGCACGCGCATTAGCATTGCAGCAGCTCGCGCAGCGAGACGC